CTATCTATCTATCTATATATGTCTGTCAGTCTTTCTATCTATCTATCTGTCTATCTATCTCATTTTGTTTATATTTATCTCAGTTTGTTCATCTGTATCTTATCGATCTATATATCTAAGAATCGGCTCCAATCTATCTATCTATCTATCTATCTATCTATCTATCTATCTATCTATGTGAGAATCTATCTTTCTGAGAAGCCGTATCTATCTATCTGAAAATCGATTCTTGTCTGTCAGTCTATCTATCTATCTATCTATCTATCTATCTATCTATCTATCTGTTTACGTTTGTTCATAGCTAGCTACCTATCTGAGAATCGGTATCTATCTATCTATCTATCTATCTATCTATCTATCTATCTATCTATCTGTTTAAGTTTGTTCATAGCTAGCTACCTATCTGAGAATCGGTATCTATCTATCTATCTAGCTAGCTAGCTAGCTGTCCCAGTTTGTTCATAGCTGTCTATATATCTATCAGTTTGTTCATATCTATATGTTTATATATCAGTTTGTTTTTATCTATCTATATATCAGTTTGTTTATATCTATCTATCTATCTATCTATCTATGTGTTCATATATGTGTATTTCACCGCATAAAATTAATTGGTGTCAATATATTGTAGATGTTTTAACAACAGAGGGAGATATGTATTTCTTTTCAGAGTTGAATGTCGTCCTTTAAATGCTATTCCAATTTTTTTTTTTTTTTGCTTTCTCCGAATCCAATAAATTCTGATCGAATGAAATAGAAACGACTAATTTTTATCTATCCCCGATTAAAGTAAATGATCCTTGACTCAAATAAAATGAACAATATTTATTACTTATCCCCTAAATTATTATTTATATAGTCTTCTTCTTCTTGTCTTGTCTTGATGCGGCATTCACCCTGGGCGGATTGAGCCGGCTTCTTCCTGTTGACGCACCGCATCACGGACCATTGCTGCCCACACCCGTCGGTCTGTCGCGAGGTCGCACGAGATGGTAAGCCAGTCGCGGTTCCAGCGGCGGAGGCCGACCACATACGGGCCGGAAAGTAGCGCCAGATCCTCCTTGATCGTTGAGGCCCACGTCTTCAGCTGTCCGCCTATCCGCTTCCGCCAGGTGGACGGCGGTGTGGGAAGGAGAACGTCCCGTATCAGCTCCCCTCTCGACCGGCGCGCAGCGTGTCCGAACTATCGGAGACGTCGTTGAAGAAGGACTGCGGGCAGAGGGCGTAGGCCGAGGCGGCGGCGGAGCTCGGTGGTAGGGACCCGGTCGACGCGTCGGCAGTGCAGGATGCGACGGAGGCAGTCGTTGTCGAACACTTCCAATTTGCGCTGGTCAACCACCCTGAGCGACCAGGTTTCACACCCATATAGGAGGATAGAGCGAATGATCGCCTGGAAGATCCGCCCTTTCGTGGTGGCCGAGATCTCTCTCCGGTTCCACAGGCAGCGCTGGAGGCGGGCGAAAGCAGATCTCGCCGCGCCCATCCGACGTTCCACCTCAAACACTCCTTGTCCGGATACAACCACAGCCGATCCTAGGTAGACAAACGAATCGACCACCTCCAGGTTGACACCGTCCAGCGAGATGGGGCGCTGGGCTTCTGGTGGGACTAGGGAGAAATGCACCTTGGTCGCCGTCTACGCCCCCACACTGATTTATATAGTCAAATATGAAAGACCAATACTTACCTCCGCTTGATCTAAAAGTTTATAGACTCCAATATATACGACAAATATTTACTTATCCCTGAAAAAGTAAATGCTTTTAGACTCAAATATGAAGGACCAGTGATTATCGATTTTCGAACCCAATAAATGTTAATCGAATCAAATATAAACTGCTAATATTTATCTAACCCTGAATCCAGTGAATGTATAACGATTAAAATATAATTTTAAAAGACTGGATTTCGATATGAAATAACACAACAACATTTCACATGTCGTATAATCACACAAGTCTACTCTCACAACATCGAGTGGTTGCCAATTCGCAAAAAAAAAGAAGACATATATGAAAAATTACGAGCCACCCCTGATTCACTTTTGTTTCTCCTCTTCAAAAACTGCTTCGATTATCCGGTAAACGAAGACGGAAAAGCAAACCGGTGCTAAGGGAAATCGAGTTTATTAATTGATTTTTTTTTTTTTACGGCTTGCAGAATTTTTTTAACCAAATTCACCCCAGGGAAGGCAGTAATGCCACTAAGGGTTACTGGGCGTTGGAGAGTTAGAAACTCAAACATTAGGACCAGGAACAACATTGCATTGAAATTTTTGAAGATTAAAGTTGGCTGGAAATCATGGAGACAGAAAGGAGTTCCACGTGCGAGAAGTGCGAGAGAAGAAACTGTCAGCATAGAACTTACGGTTACATCTAGTCAGCTCAACTGTAAATTGATGAAATCTCTGCGGCAGTCTAGTACTGCGCTTAAAATTAAAAAAATCTAGGTACCACAACGATATTTATTTGTAATATTTACTAAATGCGGCACAAAGCCAAAATGTCGAATGGAGAAAAGGACTGTCTTGTTCTGTCTTAACTTTAAACTTAGCTAGCCACAAACATTGACCCAAACATACCACAATATTCCTAACGCCAAAACACATTTTTATTTACCTTTCTTACTACATTCACCATAATACCTCATTGTCTCTATGAACCACAACGAATAGCTCATCCGGACAATTACCATGAAGGTATTTATAGAAAAGACACAGAGAGTCAACTTACGGTGGTTAGAAAGCAATTGAAGCTGAGACGCCAGATCAGGACCAATAATATTGCTGATTCTTCTTTGGATTTTATCTAGGAGCTCTATATAAATAGCATTTAAAGACAAAACATATTATTTTTAGATAACAATGATTTAATGTTACAAGTATTACTGATTAACCCATAGCTGGGGAGAGAAGAGGTGGATTTATACCTTTCCCAAAGGGTATTTGAGTGTAAGTGAATATAAAAAAACGATCAGAGAGATTAGCAATTCAGAGCCATTCTACATTACACAAACCGCACCTTACTCTGTAATCCTCTACTTCGAGTGGCTCTTAGCCTTTGTACAGGGTTAATATCTTTGTAAAAAATCAGACTAAGCTAAGCGTAGTAAATATCTACATATGTGTTCTTACAACAAAGTTCTAGTCAAGTTTTTCAAAAGGTAATATTTACGGTTTTTTCTAAAGTCTCCGTGAAGTCTATACTCTTAACGTAGTTACCTTCGTTCTCTTTCATTTCCGTTGGCCCCCTTGAGTCTTGGTGGCATTATCTCCTTGCTTGAAGTGGTGCCTCTTACTCTGTATCCCTCTACCTCAAGTGGCTCTTGGGCTTTGTACAGGGTGACCATTGTTGTAAAAAAACAAATTCGTGAATTTTAGAACTGCCTTCTTAAACTTAAGCAAAAGACATCCTCGTGAGATTTAAATTTAAGATTCTTCCCACAAACAGCTGCTTTGTAGAACCGACTTCGAAAAAGACTCTTCCCCGATCACACCAATCGTAACCTGTTCGAATCTAGGGTTAGCCGTCATCTTCCTCACCTATGCCGGAAAAGTGTACCTCTTAGTTAGTAACTTTCACGACTTTGACCCGTGATG